AGCCGGCGGGCTGAGCGCCCTCGCTCGCTCGCTCCCTCCCGGTGGCGTAATTTCCCCGCGGGTCTGCCTCTCCTTCGCTCCGCCGCCGTTCGGGGCGTGTCCGGAGAATGGCCTCGGAGATAGAGTCGTCGCTGGAGGCGAGCTTCACGTCCAGCGGAGCGCTGTCAGGGTCCTCGGTGTTTCTGCCGCCGGCGCGCTCCCGCATCTTCAAGATCATCGTGATCGGTGACTCCAACGTGGGCAAGACGTGCCTGACCTACCGCTTCTGTGCCGGCCGCTTCCCCGACCGCACCGAGGCTACCATCGGGGTGGATTTCCGAGAACGAGCGGTGGAGATCGATGGGGAGCGCATCAAGGTGAGCAGGTGGAGGACCGGCGCAGAGGAAGGACTCCGGGATGACAGGTGCCCCGGCCCCGCGGTGGGCGAAGGGCCGGCACCGCAGGGTGTGCGCTCCATCGTTTCACGTGCTGACGTGGAGACTGGAGTTGGGGATGGCAAGGATTTGTATATAGCGAACTACGAAGGCAGTGCTTCCCCAACTTTAATGCCATGCTAATTACACAGGGGTTTATATTTATTTTTACAGGCAGATTCTGCCTTGCTGAGGTCCCAGGTGGTGCAGATGCAGCCAGCCCGTGGACCACACTTTGAGTAGTAAGAGTGTAGGGGGCATCCACTGACTAATTGTCAGTGTCCCATGTGCTGGGAACCAGTGAAGTCAGACCAAAGGAATGTCTCCAGCATGGAAAATTCATTAAATAAATATGATTTATTAAACAGTCATCTGAGCGCTTCCTGAGATTGTGGCAGTAGAGCCCCGTTGCCTTTGAGAAGTGCTTTGCATCCAGTTTTGCTACAATAGTTTCTGTAAAACCGTGAGTTATTTGGAAAAATCTGTTTTCCTGCAGAAAAATTCTTTACATGTTTGTTCCTGCTTGGGTGCCAGAAGCACATTTCTTGGTGCCACCCTCTCCCAGTTCTTCTTTAGTTCTTATTGGTGGCTCCTGAGACTAGGGGACACAGAAATAGTGGAGAAGGCGGAAAGCCCAAGGCCAAGACTGGAATTCTGAGGAGCTGGAATAGGGCGTTGGAGAATGAGGGGGACAGGGACAGGGCCTCCTGATGGTATCAACCTTACACACACTTCTTCCTTGCAAGCCACCCCCAACTCCTCAGCCATCTGATACCTCCCCTTAAAACACGTGGCCCTGGGAACGGCCCTGCCTTCCTTACGCTACCTTTACTTTTTTGCTTTCAGTTAGAATGTTCATCTTTGCCTCAGTTCCCCGCGGGCTTTGTACTGCATGCCTTTTCCCGCATCCTTGAAGCACAAACAGTTTATTTTTTTAGTTCCCTAACTGTTGTCCTACTCCTCACCCTCAAAGGGTTTGTTTAAATGCTAATGATGGTAAAGGAGAAATAGGGTTGAAAACAAATCAACCTTCTATAGGTCCTTTTGCTGTTTAATTTTCACTTTAATTTTTCTTTGTCCCATTGAAGCTGCCAGTGATGGTTCTTTGGGTGCACTGCATTAGGGAGTTAAGAGAGATTGGGATGCATTGCGGAGGAAAATACAGAATCAGGAGGGGCTGGATGTTTTTCATCAGAAGTAGGTTAGGCCCAGGAGCCTGTGAGAAAATAATGGGGCTTCCGAGGTATCAGAGGGAGTTTAGTTTGGAAGAAGCAGGAGTTCTGGGAGAAAGTGCATGGGCTTTGGAACCCAACTGACCTGGCCCAAATCTGAACCTGTGAAAGGGAAGCAATGAGCTGTGTTCTTAGTAGGGTGACAACTTTGCCCGAGACGACTGCAGTTTTAAAACTGGAAGTCCCAAATGCCTGACATCCCCTTAGTCTCAGTGAACTGGGATAGTTGGTTACTCCAGTCCTCAAGCAGGTTCCTTATCTTTCAGAATCTGTTTTCTTTCTGAAAATGATACTGTATCAGGCTGGTGAGGATTAGATGAACCATCAGGTTTATATTTGGTAATCTTTTTTTGTTGTTGTTAATTCTCACCCAAGGATATTCCCCCCCGTGTGAGAGAGAGAGAGAGAGAGAGAGAGAGAGAGAAAGCGGGGGCGGGGGGGGGAGAGTGACAGAGAGAGAGAGAAACATAGATTGATTGCCTCCTGCATCAGCAGCAACCAGAGCCAGGGATGGAGCCTGCAACCGAGGTAAGTGCTTTGACCAGAATCAAACCCGGGACCCTTTAGTCTGTGGGCCTTTTGATGCTCTATCCACTGAGCCAAACTGACTAGGGCCATAGTTGGTAATCTTCCCTGGTGGCTTCACATTCCTCTGTCACCATCAGTTCTGAGGCTGCATAACTAGAGAGTGAAGCAGAGCTAAAGCAGGGCGTAGGCAGACAACTGAAGAGGAGAGGAATTACTCCCTAATGGGAGCAGGATGTTTTTAAAAAATAAGTACAAGGGCCATAGCCAGTTTCTCAGTGGTTAGAGCATCAGCCCTCCAACTGAAAGGTCCCAGGTTCAATTCCGGTCAAGGGCGCATAACTCAGTTGTAAGCTCAATCCTCGCTTGCAGGCTCATTCCCCAGCCCTGGTTGGGATGAGTGCAGGAGGCAACCAGTTGATGTATCTCACATCATGTTTCTCTCTGTCTCTCCCCCTCCCTTCCACTCTTTCTAAACATCAATGGAAAGCCCAACCAGCACAGCTCAGTAGTTGAGCTATTAACCATGACCTATTAACCCCGTAGGTCATGGTTTGATTCCTGTCAGGGCATATGCCCGGAATGTAGGCTCGATCCCCAGTGTGGGGCATGCAGGAGGCAGTTAATCAATGATTCTCTCTCATCATTGATGTTTCTCTCTCCCTCTCCCTTCCTCTCTGAAATCAATACAAAAACATATTTTAAAAATCAAGGAAAAAATATGCTGGGGTGAGGATTAACAACAACAACAAAAATAATAATTAAAAAAATAAGTAGAGAGAAGGGAGGCAGGGGAGGAGTTGAAATTTGATGACCCTTTACCTGTTTCTGGATTGCCTTTTATACTGTGAGATCACAGATGAATCAGGTACAAATTTAAGAGATACTTAACATTGAAAAAATATAAAACATGTCCAGTGTATAAAGTTCAATACTGGGATAAGTGCTGGCAGTTATAAGTAAACCATGGCCACTGGTGTGATGAATATGGAGCACAGAGTTGATCCTTCTGGTTGAAAGAAGTAAGGAGAGCACATTGTTTTTGGGAATTACTCCTCCTGAGCTTCAGCCTAACCTGTTATGTTAATAGGGACACGGACACTAAGATTTTCTTCTTTCTAAGGTCTTAGTTACTGACTTTTACCTCCAAATGTAAGATTAAAAAAAACCTTTATTGTTGAAAGTATTAATATGTCCCCTTTTACCCCATTACCCTCTCCCAGCCCATCCCCACCCTCCAAATGTAAGATTTTAGAGACATTTTTATTGTGGTTGAGAGAACTACAGAAATGTTCTGAGATTTCTGTAGTAGAAAAAGATATGACTATATTGGACACTTTTTTAAAAAGCTTAATTTTTAGTTTATATTGAATTTATTGGGGTGACTGGTTAATCAAATATGTAGGTTTTAAGTGTATAGTTCTATAAATGTCATCTATATATTGTATTGTGTGTTCACCACTCTAAGTCAAGTCTCCTTCCATCATCCCCCATGTCCTTTTCTACCTCCCCTCACCCCCACCCCCACCCCCTTTCCCTCTGGTAATCACTATATTTTTGTTCAAGTCTATAAGTTTTTTGTTTGTTTTTTGCTTAATCCCTTCACCTTCACCTTTTTCACCCAGTCCCGAAACCCCTCTCCCCTCTGACAGCTGTCAGTCTGTTCTCTACCTATGAGTTTGTTTCTGTTTTGTTAGTTTATTTTGTTCATTATTAGAGTGTTTAGAAAAAACTGAAGTGACATAGAAGAGCTTTATTCCACGTACTGTTTCTGCTTCTTTTTTGTTAACCTGTTAATACATCTTAAGTGCTGCTGTTTATACCATGTTTATATTTTCTCTTTGGAAAATTACCAGTTTAATCTGAAATGACGTTTTTTTAAAAAAATATATTTTATTGATTTTTTTACAGAGAGGAAGGGAGAGAGAGATAGAGAGTTAGAAACATCGATGAGAGAGAAACATCGACCAGCTGCCTCCTGCACATCTCCTACTGGGGATGTGCCCGCAACCCAGGCACATGCCCCTGACCGGAATCGAACCTGGGACCCTTCAGTCCTCAGGCCGACACTCCATCCACTGAGCCAAACCGGTTAGGGCTGTTGGTTTTTTTTTTGATAAAAATAAGATATTATGTTAAAATTTTTAAAAATATATTTTTATTTATCTCTCAGAGGAAGGGAGAAGGAGAGAGAGATATCATTGAGAATGATGAGAGAATCATTGATCAGCTGCCTCCTGCACACCCCCTACTGGGGATCAATCCCTCAACCTGGGCGTGAGTCCTGATTGGGAATTGAACCATGACCTCCGGGTTCATAGGTCAATGCTCAACCACTGAGCCACCACAGCCAGGCATGTTAAATAATTGTAATTGTGGAATGGAAAATTTTCAGAGAACATGTTTTATAGTAGTGACGTTTTATTTTTTTTAAATTAAATCTTTATTGTTCAGATTATTACAGTTGTTCCTCTTTTTTCCCCCCATAGCTCCCCTCCACCAG